GTCCAGAGGGACTTGGGTGTCCTTGTACACCAATCACAGAAAGTTAGTCTGCAGGTGCAGCAGCAATTAGGAAGGCGAACGGTATGTTAGCATTCATTATGAAAGGATTAGAGTATAAGAGTAGGGAAGTCTTGCTGCAACTGTATAGGGCCCTGGTGAGACCACACCTGGAATACTGTGTGCAGTTTTGGTCTCCTTATTTAAGGAAGGATGTACTTGCCTTGGAGGGGGTGCAGCGTAGATTTACTAGGTTAGTACCAGGGATGAAGGGGATGAGTTACGAGGATAGGCTGACCAATTTGGGCCTATATTCTCTAGAATATAGAAGAATTAGAGGGGATCTTATAGAAACCTATAAGATCATCAAAGGGCATGATAGAGTAGATAGTGGGAGATTGTTTCCCCTGGTTGGAGAAACTAAAACCAGGGGTCACAACCTTAAAATCAGAGGCCAGCCCTTTCGCACTGAGTTGAGGAAGAACTTCTTCACTCAAAGGGTGGTGAATGTATGGAACTCGTTACCCCAAAGGGCTGTTGACGTTCAGTCCTTGAACATATTCAAGACTGAGATAGATATATTTCTTATTGCAAAAGGAATTAAGAGATACGGGGATAAGGCAGGGTTATGGTATTAGCTGGAGTATAATTTCGAAGATCAGCCATGATTGAATGGTGGGACAGGTTCGAAGGGCCAAATGGCCTACTCCTGCTCCAATATGTTATGTTTATGTTATGTTAAGCAATTCATTAGCTTTTAAAGTGTTGTCATGAATTCACTTGAGCTTTGTCCCTGATTATCACAGGAGTACTTTATTCAAATAAATGTACCTCTTACATGTCATAATTGGCAGAGGGGATATCAGACCACTTGTGATAACGTTAACTGTTTCTGAAACATAAAAAATAAATGCAAAACAGGAAATCTGAATGCATTTTATTGCATAGCAACTTTACTGATTGAACACTGTTCAAATGCATCATAGTTAAAACCACTCCAGGGCACATCGGCTTTAAGTGCCATAAGATGGCAAACCAAAGGTCTTCAATCTTAATCTTTGTATTTGTTTAGGCTTAAATGTGTAAAAATCACATTTTGTATTTAAGATTTATTGTAGCTGACAATTAAGGTAGCTAGCCTTTTTTTTCAAAACACAATAATTTGTTGACAGTAAAATTGGAACAAAACAAATGATTCTTGTCTTAGCTACGGATTTTGGCAAGTTGAATTCCCAGTCCTGTGACAAATATGATAGCATAATTATACATGTTCTGAAGTTTCCACATTCTTTTTCTGAGGCGCTGTTCACTATATTTTGTTAACTAACTCCTTTCTCTTTGCAAAAAGTATCATAATAAATCTTTAACATCTGAAGAATAAATAGAATAAAATATCTATAAAACTACATTTGAGTACCATCTCATCTTATTGGATAAATTACAGTAGAGTTCCTCTCAATAGTTTGTTAATTAATTATGAGATAGATATGTGTTCTGTATTAACTAATTAGAGATTTATTTACATATTTGTAACTGAAAAGTATTGTCAATATCAAGTTGTACTTCCACATGAAACACTTTATAAAGGTAGAGGAAGGGTGCATGAGGATGATGGCCAAAAGTATGGTCAAAGAGATGGGTTGTGAGAAGATTTTAGGATATTTTTGAAGACAGGGAGAAAGAAGGTGGAACGTGAATAGATTTTGTGTGCGAGACAGTGAGTTCTTAATTGCAGCACAAACTATCAATAAAGATAACAATGATAGTGAATGGACAATTGTAAAATACCAATTGTTTACAACCCATCAAGGCCACGTACACAGAATTTCTAAAATCAACAGAATAACATCTCAGAAGGCTTCAAAGAGGTAGGGTTGGATGCTGAATTAGGGGGAAAGGGGGAGGAAGGTGGCCTCAGATGCGGTCAAAATTATAGGTTTTGAAGTGGGATTTCAAGATTTCAAGGTGGAGGAATGGAGGAAGAGAGTTCCAGAGACTGGGGGAATAATGACTGAATATTAATACTGGTATACACTGCAGAGGGTCATAGATTTGATTTCTGATCAATAATAAGTTAACTTTTTTAAAACTATTCTCAGCTAGACCAGTAGTTGGATGCTAGAATTAAACTCAAACCCTAGATTAGGAAGGGGAACATCCCAGCAGTATACGTATTCCAGATCGTGTCCAGTGATCACAGCATATTTCTGGGTGATAACAGAATCAACGTCAGCTCTGATACCCTCTCCAATCAAATACCTTGCCGACATACAACTGGCCACACACACAAAGAATTGCCACTTGGATCAGATATCAGAGAGGTACGCAGCCTGTATAACTGTATTCCAGCAGAATTAAAAGGAATAAAAAAAATCCCCCAATAATTGTTAATTACTAAACTCATCAGATTAGCTCGCAGAACCAATATGAAATCTCACCATATTGTTTGACACACTCCACCTCCCCCACCACCTTTCTTTATGCCTTTATCCAGTCCCCCCTCTACGATTCACATGCTCCAGATCATCCAGAACTCCACAGCTTGAATTCTCTGCCAAACAAGCCCACCACTACATTCTTACTCCCTTTCCCAGCGGATCAATTTCAAGAGCTTCATCCATACCTTTAAGTACCTCCATACCTTGCCCCACCATATCTCCTGTGTGGAGGTGATGAGATCACCTGTAGTCTTACTCCTTGTCCACTCCCTATGCTCTGCCAGCTGTGGATCTGCTTTATGTCCCCTATGCTCACCATTGGCAGTGAGCTTTCAGACCGTTTGCCTTCATTCTCTTGAACTCTCTTCTGAAATACCTCCACCTCCCTCCCTCTTCAGTATTCAAAATCTATTTAAATAAAAACAATGTTTTTAACTGCCTTTGATCACCTACTGCCTATCCTTAATCCCCACACACCCCCACCACCCAACTAGCCTGGGCTCCGTCTCTGTAAATGCTTTGAGACACAATCCTTTAGATGAAAGGTGCTTTCCAAGTTAAATTGATGTTGATGATCTGAGACAGATCAAATATCATCAATAGAAATTAAGTTATTAACTGAGTTTTACTGAATCCATATTAGTGAACACAATCATCACAGTTTTCAACCATATTTTTTTTAATTCAGTGCCCAGTACAAATAGGCCTCGTGATTTTTTCAAGTCAGTTCTATCTACAAAGTCATTGTTATGCACTACTTTATTAAAAATATGATCAGAAATAGAAAGAAATTGAAAGGATATTTACAATTCTTTGAAACTGTTTGACTAATGGATACTAAGGTTTATTTGGTTCAGATTAAGCAAACTTTTTTTTAAAAAAATTAAGTACTTTATAAATATAAATCCCCAAACACATTATCATTTTTAATGTGAAATTGTGATGGAAGACAATAACTATCTTGGTGGCATTAATTTCATGTTTTATTTATCCAGATTTGTGTTGCCTCACTGCCTTTGGTTTGTATTATGACAGTTTGCTTTTAATTTATTTTGCAAATGACTTCATGACATGACAAAGAGTGATCTGAATTATCTTTGGGGATTCTACACTTCTAAGACAAGTAGATTAGCATTCACAGCAATGTTCACCCATCTTTTAATTGCTACAGAACATTCTTTTCTTTCCAACTCTCATCTCTGTAGGCTGAAATTTAAGCAATGATGATTACATGTATGTACTGTGCTGGGAACTGAGGAAAGGTTTTTTTTAGATTGAAGAACACACAACCTATCCTGTTTTCTGGTTCAGTGCATGGGGAAAGCATTGTTATTCAATTACACTTTAGTTAGATGTTGGATGGAAATTACTGTAATGATAATGTCTAAATTCATTGTATTATCTTGTTATTATCTGGCAAACAATGTTGGGATTCTTGTTTGAAAATGACAATGCTGTAATTATGGTGTACAATATAACTAGTCTCAAAGATCTCTGCCTCATTTGAAAACAAACATGGAACACCTTCATGCAACTATGACATTGTAAATAAGTTACATAAATAAATTATGAAAAATGTAAATGGGTCCTGAGTACTATGAGGAGATAAACAATCAGAGCCAGAATACCACCAATGGAAGCTACAACTTAAAAACAGAGTCATATTGAATCAACAACTCTACAACGTAACAAAAGTTTCCAGCAGTTTCAAAATTAGCATGCACAAAACATACCTAGTTTCTCCTAATATAGATTTGGAATGGACACAATGATGTGTAGATGGATGAATGACCAAAATGCTTTGTTGACAAATCCCAAATGTTGCAAACAAAACACAAAGTAAATATCACTTGGGATTAAAACACAGTAATAGTTTGTAAGTGAACAATATTGTCTGGAAGGTTTATTTTATTGTGTTAGGATTTTAAAGTGGATTATTTCAGGATAACCTTCAGCAATAAGAGTGAATTGAGACAACTTTAAAACGTATCAGTTTTTAAGTGTTTCTTAGTCACTTCAAAGCATTACAATGATTAGATTGAAAGGCAAATTGACTAATAAAAGCCTGGGAGCATTAACCTGGGCTTTAAGACTTCAAATCTCACTACCGTGGCCTCCTTAAAAGTTAGGAATTAATGGGAAAAATAACAGCTTCTATTCAGTTTTGATGAGATTTTTCTAGATCTCTTTCTCATCAGCAAACATGCAAAGAATTNAAAAAGAGTAAGAGATTGTTATATGCAGGAAAGTGCTGAGATACAGGGGAACCCTGTTATAGCACCATTCAATATAGTGCTGTCTCACTTATAGCATAGGTTTTCTGTGGACCTGAAATTGGTCTTCAATTGCACCTCATCAAGAACATGGCCAACTGTGACTGAACCCAACTAACATGTGTTACAGTATAAAGGCAATATAATATTTTCTGTAGTTGTTGGGAACATTGTAGTTGATCTGTTGAAAAGCATCATTCTATACTTTCAGATATCAGAGTAACCACCTACATCATTCCAAAAAAGCTCTCAAAAGAAGAAATACTTATGAAGCCACAGTAATTGTGCTTACCTGACCTACAATGAGTGGAACCACAACTGTCATGAATAGCTGAGAAAATATTGATGTAAAAGGCACTGAAGAAGAAGAGCCAAGCTGCAGAAACAAAAAAAACAACGTTTGGCAATAATCAACAGTAAGAATCCGTGACAAAACAACTGAACGTGCAATAGTAAAAGTGAAAGGAAAACACACAGGGCTAAATTGCAGTTAAGATTTTTTTTTTATTTTTACATGGAGCAACTGTTTATTCGTTTCTAGCCTGAAATAATTATTTTGCAACACTATTTTAAAAAAAAAATATTTTTTATGCCTTTTCAACAATACAACAGCTTGCATTTATACAGCGCCATTCACATACAGTTATGTCGGAACACTTCACAGGGAAGGGGTTGGATGCCAAGCAAGACGGGGAGGAGGGCAAGATGGCCAAAGGGTTGTAAGAAGAAACAGGATTTGAGGTGGGACTGAAATACCAAAAGAGGGGTAAGATGGAGTGGTAGAGAAACAGAGGTCCAGAGTTTAAAGGCACAGAAACTGAAGGCCAACGAATGGTCGAACAGAGAGTGGGGGCTGGGCAGCAAGACCAAGGTATCTGAGCGGAGGAGGTGAGCAGAAGAGTAGGGAAGAACATATTTGATTTGTTTTACTCTGCATGTTTTCTTTTAAAAGTCTGTTTATATTACAAATAAATATGTATCACCCCTTTACAGAATGTATAATGATTTTATTCATTAAAGTAAAAAGCAATACAAGTTGAATGGAAAATGGTAAACTGAGTGAATTCAATTTAAATGGAAAGACAGCAAACATACTCAATTTGTGCACATACTTTATCTCAAGATTTTGCATTTTGTTGTAATAATGGTACACACAGTTTTATGAACTGAAAATCAAATTTAGTGCGACAGGAAAATAAGTTACCGAGTTAAAATGAAAATATGAAGCATGAAGCTATATTTTTTTTGTTATACATAAATAGTAATATAAAATATCAACTTACAAACAGAAGTAGTAGTAGTGGCGTGATAATAATTCCCTGAAACAGAGAGGATTAAGAATGGTGTACATTGTTCATGTAAAAATTTATATTTTTCTTGAATAAGATTTTTGTCCTTATACAGGGTGACCAAAAAGTCATGATAACTACCCTATTATCTAAAAGAAAATTCTTTAAGACTTATTAGATGTTGTAATGGTATCACAACTTGTCATCCTGTAGAATTGATTCCGTTCAGGTTGAGAATCTTTTAAGATCTAGAATATTCAAATGTTACACTTTTATTATTTCCAGGTTTGCTTATGCCAATGATCTGCTTGCCGGACTTCCCAGCTCGTTCCTGCACAGGTTGCAAAATATCCAGAACTCTGCAGCCTATGACCTCTCACATACCAGGCTTCATGAGCCTATCACTCCCATCCTTTCTTGGCTCTACTGGCTCTCCATCCCCGAGTGGATCGAGTTCAAGATCCTTGTTCTCTTAATTCCCTCCATGGTCCTGCCCCACCACACCTCTGCAACTTTCTTCACCTATACAGGTCCGGCTGTTCCCTTTGCTTGCCCGAAACTGGCTTACAGGACCCGCTCTATCCGCATCAATATCAGCAGGTGGGTTTTCACCCACATGATGCTCACCTCGCTAGACATCTCCCTAGATCGTTTGACATGCTCCCTCCCTTCCAGTACACATCCCGAATTGTCTGGTGTGAAAGGTGCTATACAAGTGTAAATTGTATTGTAAATTGATTTGACCTTTACGTTACCACTATGTGTATTCATTATAAATTGCTAATGGAATTATTGGTCATAGTTCTGAAATCTGAAGGTTTACAGGGGACTGGGTGCTGCAATAGGTTAGCACATAGATTTTTCACCTCTGAAACACAAATTCAAATCTAGTCTGGGCAGAGGGAACAAACTATTACATTCTTTGTTAGGTGGAAATGATTTAGTCTTCATCTTGTTCAAAGAGAGAATAAATACTTATTCTTTGTTTTATATGAAAATGTAACTGTCAATCTCACAAAGAGAAGCAATGAGGATGGCATGGATGCTGAAAGAAAATCACCTTTCAAAACAGAAGCTCAGGCACAGTATTGGTAAAAGACAAAAGAAAAAGAGAGCTTTATTCCACATCAGAGCTGCAAAAACTTAAGGATAAGAAAGGACAAAAGACAAACCAAAGCTTTATTCCACATTGGACCTGGGAACATTGAGGATGGGTTAAAACACAATGGGTTAGAAATCCATCTAGTGCTAGATTTACTCTATTTAGGGAGCAATTCAGAGCGTCCAGAATTTGTCAACTCTTAAAAGCAGTCTTAAATTTGAATCAGGTTTATTTGAAGACCATAGAAAACCAGCTTCAAAGTTAAAACTGAATTGAACAATTTGTCAAATTCTGTACATTGTGAAATACTAAGAAAAAGTAAATCTAGACCCAAGTGGAATGTCTCCCACATTGCCAGCTAACAAAGAAGGCAATAGTTTGTTCCCTCTGCCCAGACAGGATTTGAACTTGTGTTTCAGAGGTGAAAAATCTATGTGCTAACCTATTAGAGTACACAGTCCACTGTGAACCTTCCGATTTCAGAAATATGACCAATAATTCCATTGGCAATTTATAATGAATACATATAACAGTAATGTAAAGGTCAAATCATTGCTGGAGGAAGGAGAGATTTATTCTACATTAGATCTGGGATTACTCAGTGAATACTTTTGCCGTAAAATCTCAGAAAAGTGTTCAACATTTCCAATTATGGATATCGCTCAACTTCATGAGCACATCAATTCATCCTAAATATACTGCTGGCAGCTTTGTAAATAAAGAAGTGCCACACACATGTGGAATTAAAGTAAAACTATTGTAGCCTTACAGCTTGTATTCCTTTATGGTTTGTTAAGGAACACAAACCGTAGTTCAGTACAGAATAATAAATTAAAGCTACCATACAAAAATGTTACAGAAGAAAGCAATTTCACCCGTCAGAAAATTGTAGTCATAACTTCATCTGACTACATTTGTCATTAATAATTTTGCATGATGGACAGGGCTACTAGATTTCACGGTGACATTTTCATACAGAATGACAAAGTAGACCCCATAAAGATGCCAGATTTTCAGAGCTGTCAGACAAAGTCAAACTGCCAAAGAGTAAGCTTGTTTTTTACTGCAGCAAAAGTATTCGATTACTGATGGGAATGTGATAAAATACTATAGGTAATTTACATTTAAAATTCAGCTACTTAAATAGAATGAAATGGCAAAGTATCAAACATTTGTCAACTATCCCTATATATTTATCAACAACAACAAATTACATTTTATAGCACCTCTCTTGTCAGGAGGACATCACAGTTACTAATTACACAGTTACATCACGTGTTTCTAATTACATGTATTATTTACATTCCAGAATTTAATCTGAAAGTCAGTAATTGGAAAACTGTTTATCAACATTTCATCAGGTCTTTTTAGAAAATTTATGGGGTATCCAGAAACAATCATAAAAAAAGTAACAACAATTTGATATTTTATAACTATTAAGTCTGCAATTGATGAGGAGCAGTAGTGCATTAACTAGTCATAGGTCAATCAATTTCTTTTATTCCTTCATCCTACCCTTCCCAACCTATCCCTCACTCCTGACTGCTTTCATCCAAGATGAACATTTCAAAGGATTTCACAAAATAATAATAATCCTTGCATTTGATATGGCAGCTTATCATGTTTTGAGATGATAGAATTTACTGAGCAGGGAAGAAAGAGAGGGACTATATATAGGGTCTAAGTGTGACCGAAGACATAGTCAAAGAATAGGTTTTAAGAAACCTCTGAAGGCAGAGAGAGAAGACACAAGTTGAAGGGACTTCAGAGAATGATAGTATAGTATTAAAACTTCAAACCAGTATAAAATCAGTATTGGAATCCTAATCATTTTCAAACTTGCATTTAAATAAATTGCACTGTAGTGTACTGTCGTCGACAAATGTTCAATAAAGTTTACAGTTGTTTGAGCAGAAATATCAGTGTAGGAGGTAGAGTGTCAATAATGCCTGACCAGGAACAGCCACATACACTGTAATTTAATTTGCATGAAATCTTGCAAATAGATTTAGGCAGTCTATATCAGAAATGTTATTATTATTTCATTATAAGATTATATCAGAATGGAATTATAAAAACACTTCTCTAGAAACTGTCTTGCCTCTTCTTTCATCTCTTGAATTAATAAACTCAATTAAGAAGCAGTTACAGATTTCTATCTAATTTTCTTTAGTGCTAGACTCAAGATCATAAATCTTGCTGTTTAGCAGAAAAATAAGTCTACTTCCCTTGACAAACTTGAATGAAAATCAATACACGATTAGGCTCAAAAATGAATTATTTTTACAATTTGTTGCTCAACAGTCAAATTAATAGTAAGGCAGTTCAGAAAAGGCCCTTCCGTAGTTCTGTAATCACAAAAATCATTGATGGTCCAGGTGAGTAGAAATGTGACCCCTTCATAACATTCATATTATAATAAGTTAAATAGATTGTTGCAACCAATTATTTCCTGGGCTCACACAGGAAGAATCCCCATTTGGAGGAAGCAGCTCAACTGAGATAGTTAGCTGAAGCTAAATAACAATGTGGAACTGAGTCCAGGACTGAACCTACTCTACTGAATTGTGAGCCAAATGGCTGGACTCTTGGGGGCAGACAATCTTCTATTTAGAGATTAACTCAGATGAGAATAAAAGAATCAGTCAGTCCCAAAATGTACCAATGAAATTGTCACCAGAACACGTCAAAGCCAATCTCTGACTTGCGCCACAGAAATAGCAAGACTTCAAAAATGACAACACTCTCTAAAGCAAATTACAAATACAAAGGCAGAAAATATGCAAAACATGATTTTTTTCTTGAAACTGCCAGATGTCTAGTTTTACTTTGTGCACAAGGGACTGTAAAACAGCTCTTTCAGAAACTCGATGTAGTAACCTTGGGACAAGAACTAAGAATTTCATTATGGTTGCCTTTGATACTTCCTCATTCCCAGATCTCAAGCAAACAGCAAGCAATGAATCAGATTTAATTAATCTCTAAATGGATTTTTTTTCTCCTTAAAATAAGCAATTGTTATAATTTCTAGATCTCTTGGAAAGAGCTCCCATTTGTGCTACACAAACTTTCATTTAAAATTTTCACTTTAAGTACTTGTATATAAATATGCATGAGTATAAATATTGTTTCAAAAATGCAGATAGAAATCTAAGATTTTGTCACCTTTTAAAAAAAAGTGCTTTGCACTATTTTATTGGAATACATGTCACATAAATTACTATACAAAATTACTATACAAAACCAAAAACAATAATTAAATTGGTCATTTTCAATCTACGACTGTTTGTGGGCATTGCTGTGCGCAATTGGCTGCCGCGTTCGCCCACAAATATACAGTCAATTCACTTTACAGTGTGTTCTGTGAAGCGCTTTGGGACGTCCTCCCGATGTGAAAAGCGCTATATCAAATGCAAGGATTATTATTATTATTATTATTATTAACAGACAGCTTGGCTGGTTTAATTAATAATGTAGCTCTTGTTGAACTTAGGAAAGTTAAACTTTCCCGGTTTTGGAAGTCAAAATCCATTTTTCTAAATGAAAACTGTTGCCTAGTAATTTACTATGATTTTTACAGTATCAACTTGTTTCTTCCATGAAAAAAGTTTCATTGCAGTTTCAATGAAGATGTCAGCTATCAACTAATGTTATTACAACAACAACAAATTACATTTGTATAGCGCCTTTCACATCAGGAGAATGTCCCAAAGTTCTGGACAGTCAGGAATTTGGACCCGAGCTGGGGATTGGGATCAGGCGGGTTGGAGGGCAGAGAGGTTAGGGGTGGGAGGGTGACCGAAAATGAGGGTTTTGAGTTGTAGGTTGAAGAAGGCAAGGGAGAGAGCAAGGTGAAGGGACTGTGGGATGGAGATCAAAAGTGTAGGGGCAGAGAGGCTGAAGGCCCAACCTCCAATAGTGCTTATTA